TGAATTTTAATGACTGTATATTATTGTAAACTGTACAACATTTATTTGAAAAGAATACGAGCTGAGTTTCTTGTCAGTTCTTCTCTCGAAATCATCCCGAAATCATCCCGAACTGACGGTAGATTTGACATATCATAACAATCTGTAATAGACCTACGCGAATAAAGATATTTTGAATTTGAAAGAGATTTCTTCCAGTCAACCTTTGAGTGACTGAGAGGAATTGTGGAGTGGTGGATACAAGTAAAATAAAAAAATGGATTTGTTCTATCTTCTATGTATCTTGTAATTCTTTGTTCTTTGTAATTGCTACTCGAAACATAAAACGGATATGAATAAATAGAAATATGTTAGAGAATTCACACCATCTTGTCCCAAACTAAGCAGACCTTGAATTATGGATTTGAATAGGTAAACATATACGCAATTCATACCGATATAAATAGATATAGAATGTTTGCATTGTAGGCGGAGATCGAATCGCCTACCACCGGAGAATACGGCAGTTCGCTAAACGTTACACCACCGAGGTCTCCGATCGATCCGTCCAATTCAAACGGGGATAGATTTTGCGATAGCCTGAGCTGAGGTTCGAACCCCTAGTGGTGCCCTCAGACTAAAGTCGTATCCGTCAGGCGGAAGTTAGCCCTCAGCCGCTCCATAAGTCCTTCCGCGGTTTTGGAGTGTCATCTGCACTCGCCCCCTATCGTCCGGTGAAGCTGTAAAGGCCAGCTGCGCTAACAGCATTAGAGTAGTCCGGAAAAAATCACTGAGGTCATATATTGATAAAGATGGCTGTCAATTTACCACCACTTATTCCACTATGTGGTATATGACCAACTTTTGACAAGTACAACCTGACCACAAACCGGTTGTGCTCGGGGTGGGCGACCAAACCGACCGACTGCACATGTTTACAGCGTGTTATATAATCGTTTATCGTGCTTAATCAACACGTACTTATATAATTTAGTTCTGATGCGGTTTTACATAAAAAGCAGTTTTTTTTCCGTGAATTTTTTGTCTTTACCGTTAAAATATACCCAATTTTACGGCGTGTACTATGAAGTAGAGTCACTCTACCTTGCGATAGATCGCTTTAGAATATAGCAACCCGCGCCCGCGACTTCGTCCGCGTAAAATGACGATACTTCCATGTAACCTTTCATCTACCCTTTCATCCCTTTACAACCCTTTTTTCGCATTAAAAAGTAGCCTACGTCCATTGTCAGGTTCTAGACTATATACCAAATTTAATTTAAATCGGTTCTGTAGTTTTGACGTGATAGCGAGACAGACGGACAGACAGACATTTATAATATTGGTAAGGATTATAGTTTTCGTGTAATTTTTGAACAACTTTTAGCTTCTATATTTTGTTCTGCTTTTTATAACAAGTCTATTTATTATTACGTAAAACACTAACCTGCATACAGAGAAACGCAAATAGAAAAATTAATCTTTCGTGTTCCCGGCGAAATACAACCACGGATTCTTCAAGTCTATGGTAAATAGATTTCTTCTGGGTAAGCTACATCAGGTCTTCCCATCATTTACCATCAGATGAGGTAAGACCAAGCGCAAACCTAGATGGGTTACATATATAGTGTACGAGGCATAAAAACTTCTTTGTATTTATTTTAAATTTCGAACGCACTTCGCATTCATTTGTTTTAAGAATAAAAAATATTAATAGAGATGTGAAAATTCCATCATGGCGTTTCATTTATCTCCACAAATCTTTAACTATGATATCCAATTTTATTTATATGTATCATGTGTATACATGGTACATATAAATAAAATTGGAGTGTCTGCTTGTTTTTTGTTTTTTTGTCCCTTCGATCGGTCCCCTGTCCAATTCAAATGAGGAAAGTAAATTACGACGGCCGACGTTCGAACTCCTAGCGATGCTCAGACTAGTTGTATCCGACAGGCGGGAGTCAGCTGCGGCCAAGAAGCATTAGAGTAGTTAGAAAAAAATTTCATTAATTTTTTTTTCATCAATACTTAATTAACTTCTATGTATGATGTTGTTTAATAAATTGTTAGATATTCGAACATTTTCTTTATTTTAATCCGCAGTCTATATCTTCAGCCTTGACAGCAATGATTTGATCAGAAAATAATTGGATCAGTTAATTTCTCTTTAGATGCACAGATTTCGAAAGCTGCTTCCAGTTTGGATGATTATAGCAATTTATTAAGGACTAGCTGTACACACGACTTCGTCCACGTGGAATTTAACTTTATTTTTCTATAATAAACGTAGCCTAAGTTACTCCTTATTATATCAGCTACCTGCCAAAAAAGGTCCCGTCAAAATCGGTCCAGCCATTTCAGAGATTAGTCGGAACAAACAGACAGACAGACAAAAATGTTATTTTGGAGTATGTACCGTATTTATATTTATATGGATGTAGTAATAAACGGTTATTTCAATATTACAAACAGACACTCCAAATTTATTTATATGTATAGATTACCGCTCCCGCACCCGCACCCGCTCTGGCTTCACACGGCTTCTTGTAAACTAAACTAAACTAAAACGTAAATTTCAACATTACAAACAGACACTACAATTTTATTTATGTATAGATGATATACAAGTCAATCATGCGAGATTACTTGACATCGATAATTCCTGCAGAAATAGCTTTCCACGTCGGTACAGGTTTAGTGTTACGTGTAACCGCTGGCTTGGATTATACGCTTTCTTGCCTCTCTCTCGGTTTCCGCCAGTTCAGGAAATTTATCGGCCAGTTATCAGGAAGGCTTTGATTTCCCTACAACATATGAGTGGAACTGTTGAACATTGCGTCTAATGCAATTAACATCAACAGAATTTAAGAACAAAATAAAATCATATTTCTAACAACATCGTTTTTACAATGTGACGGAATATCTGAATTCCAATGTACAATTATGACATTTTCCATTAAGTGACTTTTATTACTATGTTATATATTATTTAATTTATTATTTTGAATACTTAAAATTGTAATTGTGACATAATTATCTTGAAAATGTAATTACTATTGACATGCTGTTGTGTAACGAGATTTGTTACATTTGTGAATAAAGTAATATGAAATAATATGAAATAATATTGTAACCAGTAGGCGATTAGACTTTTTTTTTATTTATTTACTAATGGTAAGTACATACTGATAGAAGACACACATTGACTCACCAAACTGCAGAACAGTTTGTTGGCAAGATATTGCTCAGTTTTCTTAATACTTACTGTAATGGATCGGTGGACTGTATGTGTGTCTAAATGTTACATCATTTATACCACGTATAGAATATATATGAGTGGAACTGTTGAACATTACGTCTGATATTGTAATATACTGGGTAGTATATGATTAGATTTGTTGTCACATTTTTTACATAATAATAATAATGTGTAATTGTACAATTAAATCTTACTAATAGAATAGAATAGAATAGAAAATCATTTATTCAAATAAACTTAATTTAAGCACTTTTGAATAGTCATAACAATTTTTTTAATCTACAGCTCAATCGGAAAGCTGTCTCATCACAAGAAGAACGAGCAAGAAACTTGCGTGTTGCTCTTTTAAATAATTTTATTATTACTTTACATTTTTAAGTTGAATACAAACTACCAATTAGCACTAATTCAATTAAATACTCAAATAGAAAAAATATTGAATATATAACCAACTGATTAAACAATTAATAAGAGGAAATCAGTCATAGTGATTAGAGCAGACCAGTCCCTACAAGCAGCACTCGTTCACGAGTATGACGGATGAGCCAGCCATCACTGCGCTCGACCATATTTTAGGGAGCCCAATGACCCTATAGTAATATAAACGCGCAAGTTTCTGAATATGTATGGATGTTTGCCACTGTTTCACGCAAGAACAAAGAACAGATTTTGATGAAACTTTACAGTAATATAGCTTATACATACGAATAACATAACATACAAGCTACAAATTTCATGCGGATTAAACCGCGGGCACAGCTAGTACGTTTATGAAGCAAGGATGTTATGGATATGAAATTTCGGATATGGATAGGTTTCGGATACAGGAATGATTATTATACTGGATACGGATGCGGATATGAAATTATTTCGGATCATCCGTTAGTCCAATAATTTCGGTTACGGATATTACTTTTTTAAGGAATTCCAAAATTAAAATACAAATAACTAATTAAAATGGCTATATAACGTGACTCAATTAGGGTCCGCACCTATCCGATATTGTCCGAAACTTTTATTTCGGATTCGGTTACGGTTAATCTCAGGACAATACACACAGCGCCATCTAGTCCCGAGTTAAGCTAAGTAAAGCTTGTGTTACGGGTACTAGACAGTTAATACTTTACTTATAATAGATTTTTTTTGTAAATACATACATATTATACATGGAAAACACCCAGACCGATATCATACTCATGAATACAAATGTTTTTGCCGTGCGAGGAATCGAATCCGCGACTATCAGACGTAAAGCGGTGTGCTAGACCACCAAATAAAAAATTGTTTTTGAAATCATAAATTCGATGTATTCTGGCTAATATACCGTGATATGGATTTACTATGTTTTAGAACATTCCATGTAATGCGAACAGCTTCGAAAAACAGATGTTTATTGACTCTACGATATGAGTAATACATAACAAAATTTGCTTACGTGAATGGACAATATTAGTAACCTTGAATATACCCAGAATGTTAACGCTAATAACATTCTTGAAACCATCGAACTAGAAGACCTTGGCATCCAAACATTCGTATCGATTCTTATCTAATTGGGAACTTTTAATCCAAAAGTGGTGTTAGTCATCGATGCAAAAAATTTCATGGGTTCATTGGCCATAAATCGTCTCCCGACTTGGTACGGTATAGGAAGTGAGGCTTTATTTATAGAGTTTGACGCTCGCATGCGGCGCGTCGCTCGCGCATGTTGCGCCGGCGCGGCGCGGCGGTGAAGCCGGCGCGGTGCTGCTCACTGCCGAGGTCAGAGGGGCGCCAGTGTTCCCCAAGACTCAGTCACGGTCGGTGCTCAGTGGTATTCGGTAACGCTACAATTCGGGCTCGTTTACGTTTGCGACGATCGATGTACGAATTGATCGGGTTTTGAAATCATTCAAGTGTGCCAGTGATAACTTCGATAGCGTCTCGCCAATCGTGGCCGTCGATACCCACTCGGACGATAAAGTATCGGCGCGTTGCCGAACCGTGCCGAATTAAAGTTTTTCACGCTGAAGAAACGTCGAGATAAATTCTTCGAGTGTGAATTTACACGGGATTCTGTTACTATTATTACATTATCCTTGTGTGAGTTGCTAGTGTAATAAGATAGTGGTACAAGATGAGGCCGAAGGAGGAGGCGGACACTAAAGTCCAGTCGGGGGGGACTTTTATACTGTCCGAAAAAATCGACGATACAAAAACGAAGAAGTCTGAAAAGGAGATAAAGAAAGAGATGAAAAGATTGGAGAAAGAGAAACTAGAACGGGAGAAGAGGGAGAGGAAGGTTAGAGAAAAGGAAAAGGAACGCGAAAAGCAGTCTAAAAAAGGTCAGCACACAATTTATTCTGTTCTCGGATTGTTGGAACTATTTCACTTATCACAACGTTTCGTTATCTTGATATTATCATATCTTTATTTTAGAGGTCTTTGCATTTAATCAGCAGTTTAAATTTTGGCTACATACAATGCGTGTTTATTCGCACAGATTGTGTTCTATTGTTTTCGGGGTTACATCATTAGCGGTTTGACCTTGATAATACATCATTTATCACGCAACATCTCAGTGATTACTAAAATGTGTTAGATTTTGTCTGACTTATCTGACAAAATAAAATTTTTGGGCTAACAATTGTTTAACTCTATTCGCAATTTATTTACAAAATGTTTTAATAGTTTTTATATATCATTATTTTTCTGTGTCTTATATATAGTAGATAGTATATTATATTGTACCAACTATTAGGTTAACAAATACACAAATTTTGATTTGTAATTTAGATTTCGGATTATTGATAAAGTCAAATTGATCATTAGTTTCAACGTTTTTTACTGATGTATCCTAGACAGCTGGTGTCAACCATCCAATAACAGTCAGTGTGCCGCGTGTCGTTTACCTTTATATTATTAGAAAATTAAAATTCTCAAAATACTGCGACACGTTTTCCACATACTGACATTTTGGCACTCGCATCACCGGCACATATTACTATATTTATGATGTTTATTCCTGCTTTTATTGTCAGTTTCATATCTGCGCATTCATACCTCGCTTCTATTCCGTTTGGAACATTAAAATTTATATTCTTTACTGGTTTAAATAATGTTTATAACTTATCATAGACATATATACTATTAGGTATTATAAATACTGAAGTATGTACAACTAATGTATATAATTTATAATATAAATACTGGTATCTCGCCGTCACGTTATCGGTATTTTTTAGCGATGTCGTGCAATCTACGTATATTTACTTATATATTGTGTGTAATAAAAAGTAATTTTAAACTATTATTGTGACTAAGATTAGCATGGTCTGCCCTATCATACTAATGGAGTTTTGATTAAATATAATCAAGATTGCGTGTCAGGTGCCATTATATTATTATTATGACATTGTTTTTTATTTTGAAATTTTAAAATTAACTAAACTTAAATAGCTATCGACAACTACGAATTATGAATACAGTCCGTATAAAGCTAAACGTGCAACGTAAAATGTTCTCTAATACAAACAAAACTTTAAAGAATATTCTTTCAATTTTAATGAAAGCTTACTTTTCTAGCGTTTATATATCTTTGATGGATCCATCCTTGTTTCTTATTTTAGTAGTTGTTAGTTTTGTTATTGTATCTTCTCTAGTTAAGCAACATTGTCTGCTTTATTACGTAAAGATGAAATCGGTTTCAGCTTCACGTGAGCGTACGTTTATGAAACGCAAGGTTTCTCTTTCAATCTATCACAATTCAATTTATGATCGATTCTTGGATTTCACACAAAGGAGCGGCGGGCGTGACCGCACGCTACGCTGGAAAGATTTAAGCCGTGTACCGGCAGATTTACGAAGTCTGCTTTACATACAAAAGTCAATGTGCTTGTCACGAGTGAGCCTGCATTTAAATGAGCCGCAGAGAAATTGTACGCAGGTTCCTTACCGATACTTATTTGGCCAGTTTGAGCGAAACAGCTTTCTTGCTTCTGTTCATTCTAGTTTCCTGTAGGGCGAGCAGTCGAGTTTCCTTGTTTCTTTTATTCATTGTGAAGTGAAAAGACAGTGGGCTCGATTGTTCTGCTCAACTTTTCTAATTAGCACGCGTTTTGTTGTTTCTAGGTTAACTCGCATATACTCATTTCTCGCTCCTCTTTGCCAAGCATCGTTTTAAAATGTTTTTAATTGCATGCATATTATTATATTACGGGTATGTTCTCGCAATATAAAACTCGTTTGCGATGTCCATTTAAGACACTTAACAAGGTTTTACGTGTATAAAAATAAGTATTATCGTTAGATAGCGAGTCTGACCGAGTTGCGTCAGTTTCGAAGCAGTTGATATAAAACAAGTTTTATGCACACAGTTTTAGGCCGTGACCCTCAGGTAGTAAAGCTTTTACTTTGTAATGGAGTAACATTGTCACGACCTGCGTTTCTTATTCTCGTGAAACTCTTGTGATACGAAGTTCAAAAGTTAAAAGATATTCAAATTACAGCCTGATGATAATGTCAATCGAAATGTCTGTATGAATACAGACGTAGAGGTACTGAGATGTAACGAACTTTAGACCTTGTTTGCTAGTACTAGTATCTTTATTATTAATAACATGTAATGTATAATTATTAATAGTTATGTATAGGAGCCGAAGCCTGTTAAGTGCATGCAAATAGGCTACCTAATGAATAGTAATTTTGAGCTGTGCAACTATACGTTCGCTAGTGCTCTGTGTGTCTAGTATACCAAACAAAGATTTATAAATTGGGTTGCTTGCGTGAGGTGTTGCGAGGCACCGCTGCGTCCGAAAACGAGTCTGTTACGCACGAGCGTCTGCTCGCGGATTGTGATTATCTCACCGTCCGGTTTTTATGCGATAACAGCTATCGCAATTTGCCTCCTATCTTCTGTCTTTACCGTATCGGACCAAATTTTTTCAGCAATTAAACACTCTGCTTTATGGTAGCTATGTGCGTGATTATCCTCAATTTCTGCTGGCTCGTATAAATTCATGTTATGGTTGTAATTTTCTATATTGTTTTATTAGAGTCTGTAATCTACAGTTTTATAATTTCTAATGCAGTATTTATTTCTATATCTCCAATTACTCTATTTATAGTCACTAATAATGGTAATTCTATATTTCTAATACTAGTGAGATTGTTAGGACTTTTGTTTTACTTTATTTGGACTTGTTTAATTAATTCATTAACTTCTTCCTCTATTATTAAAGTATCCTTATATATTTCTTTATATGCATTATTTGGTTGTTTAAAATTGTGTATCGTATAGTTTGCATCAAAAGTCAATTACCCTAAGTAGATTTCAAATACATCGTTCCATACAATAACTCTTACATTATTTTTCGTTGATTCAGTTAGTCTGTCCTTTAATGTGTTTCATTCAATTTCGACCCCAATCTTGTCGTGTGACTTATCTGTGTAGATATATTTAGGGGTTTCAGAATTATAAATGTGTTAATCGACATTTAGTGCGAGTGACCCTGCAATGTTAAATCTATACATATAAATAAAATTGGAGTGTCTGTTTGTAATATTGAAATAACCGTTTTCTACTACATGCATATGAATATAAATACGGTACATACATCAAAATAACATTTTTTACAATTTTGATCTGTCTGTCTGTTTGTTCCGACTAATCTCTGAAATGGCTGGCCCGATTTTAATGGGACTTTTTTTGGCAGGTAGCTGATGTAATAAGGAGTAACTTAGGCCACTTTTATTTTAGAAAAATAAAGTTGAATTCCACTCGGACGAAGTCGCGGTAAAAGCTAGTTGGATGTAAATATAGAGAGAATTAACAGCAGGCACACATGTGAACAAAACTTATCTTAACACTGGGTATTTATAATTTTTATTACATTATGCAACAATAGATCGTTGTTATGTTAAGATAGTGGAATGAATTCAGCGTATTGTGATTATTGTGTATTTTGAACAGGGATGTTATTGATATGAAATTTCGGATACGGATAGGTTTCGGATATAGGAATAAATATTATACCGGATACGGATATGAATTTATTTCGGATCATCCGTTAGTTTCGGATAATTTCGGTTACGTATAATAATTTCTAAGGAATTTCAATAGTAAAATATAAATAGCTAATAGAATGGTTACATAACGTGTCTCAATTAGGCTCCGCTCCTATCCGAAATTGTCCGAAACTTATTTCGGATTCGGTTACGGTTACGAATATTCTTTATATCGGATATCCGGTAGATTTGGTTACGGTTACGGAGCTCCCTAACATACCTGGTTTTGAAGTAATTTCTCTGCAATAGCTAATTTTAAACTTTCGTGTTTAATATACATTATTTAAATTATTAACCGGGTCTTAACACGAATAATTTTATGGCATATGGTAAATATCTTTATTTGCCATAAAATTATTCGTGTTAAGAACCGGTTAATAATTTAAATAATGTAATTTCTCTGCAGTACTGCATTTGTCTCGCTCATGTATATTTAACCACATTATTATATTATATTTTTTAATTTTAGGTTCTTAGTTGAAGTTAAGATATGTAAATAGATTTAAAATAATGTACATATTAAATTGTAATATCCTTTAACCAGATTGTTATGTAATTGGGTCGCCAAACATGCTAAACGTAATTGTTACACTTTGGAATTTGACTAGTGTTTAGGTTTACATGTTAGAATTCACTGGAATTCATCTTAATGTAAATGAGTATGGTGTGTTTTGAAGTAATATCTCTGCAGTACTGATGTATATTTAAACAGATTGTTATATGTAATTGGGTCGTGAGATATGCTAAACGTAATGGTTACACTTGCAATGCAATGTAACTAGCGTTTAAGTTTACATATTAGAATTCACTGAATTCATGTTATTGTAAATGAGTATGGTGTGTATTGAAGTAATTTCTCTGCACTACTGCACTCACTCTAATATATATTTAAATAGATTATTATATGTAGTTGGGTCGTGAGATAAGCTAAACTTAATGGTTACACTTGCAATGCAATGTGTCTAGGGTTCAAGTTTACATTTATTTTCAACAACTTAAGAATTCACTGAATTCATCTTATCGTGAATGAGTATGGAGTGTTTTGAAGTAATTTCTCTGCAAGTCTGCACTTGTCTCGCTCATATATGTATGTAAATATAATTGGGTCGTCAGATATGCTAAACGTAATGGCTACATTTGCAATGCAATAGAAATAGAAATAATGTTTATTCAAATAAACCTAATAGAAGCACTTTAGAATAGTCAAATTTTTTTATTCTACCGCTCATTCGGAATGTAGACTCATCACAAGAAGAATGAGCAAAAACTTCTGTGTTTG